TCATCAGGCCACATGCAAACTATCATCAGGATAACAACATAGCCAATTCTGAATTTTTGGCCACATTTGAACTTTCAGATCTTCTAATAAATTTTTGCGGTATTTTTCTTGAATGGTGTGATTTTTTATTATATTTTTCATAATCATTTATATCGTATGACAAGTAGTTGAGAAAAGGAAAGGATGAAGGACGTTGTTCTTTAAAATATTCTTCCATAGCAGATCGTGACAACCAGAATTTAAATGATAATACTTTTTCTATTATCAACTTTTTTATATTAAATTTACCTCAAAAATAATTTTTAGTATAATCATAACAATAATAATAATAATTGTGATGTGTGTAAATCAGGGTCTTTAATAGTAATTAATGGTTCAGTCCAATACGATTTAACTGCGGTCTGATCTACCGTAGTTCAAACTCCAGTTTGATTGATAATATTTGTTGCACTAAAAACCTATTATTACGCAAAATACACATACAAATATTAATACATATATTTTAACAATATTTGCAACACCTTTGTATATGTATGATCACTTGGTCTCTAAAACTTTTATTGGTCTTGTAAATTTTTCCAAAAATAGAAATTCGAATTCAAAACCAACCGTAGTTTTGAAGCCAAGACAAAGTAAAAATAGGAATTAAGACTCGACCTTATTGATTTGTCATATGATGTGCCTCAATTTTAAAGTTTTGAATTTTTCTCGATCAATTCATCTCAAAATCAATTTAATTGCCAGGACATATGTGCAGTAACATAATTAGTTGTCACTCGGGACGTTATAACCAGTTGCAAACACCAATTTTAGAAGCGTGGTAGATTTTGAAAGAAGGGGAAATGTTAAATCTGGGCATCCATTTTTCCTGATTATAATTTGAAACTATTTATGATTTCGGAAAGTAGTTTGTTTTTAAAAACAATTATGTAATTTAATATGCACAATTCTAAATATAGCTATTCCAGATATTATGTGCATCTTTTCCTTCACAAATTCTAAATATAATAATAGTAATAGTAATAGTAATAGTAATATTAATATTATTAATTACGTTTTATAAAAAAATGTTTTACTAATGGAAAAAATTTCTAAATTTGTTAGTGACGCGGAATACATAACAATAAGTCCCGCATTTTTTAGAAATTCGAAAAAAAAAATTTTCAGTCATGTAGTCGTAATGTGACCATTATCATTAGTAATAATAATAAAGAAAATTCTTCCAAATTTGTTTGCCGCTGTAATTGTAATAATCGTATAATTAACTAAAAAAATATATAAAGTGTACTTGATCTAAATAATTTTTTTGGACTTTCCTTATTAAATCATCATCATCTATTGCATCTCTCATACTTTGATTAAAAAAAAATAATGCGATATAAAAGTTATAAATATTATTACTATATAAATTTTAAACTATATAAAAATGTTTAAACATCTTCAACACCATAAACATAAACAACATAATCATAGACATCATAAACATAAACAACATAATCGACATCATAAACGTAAACATCATAATCGACATCATAAACATAAACATCATAATCGACATCATAAACATAAACATCATAATCGACACCATTATCGTCTTTACTTTGACGTCTTGTATAAAAAATTTAAAAAATTTCACAACTCTCTTCTTAATAAACCTCGCCAAATATTAAAATTAATTTCCAAGTTAAACCTAAGAAGAGAAAGCTCCATCTTCCCATTCACTCAATCTGAAATTGAAACAACATCAAAAACCATCTTAGCAGAGTTTTCAAATGGTATTGAAATACCCATAAAAGTGCCTAATGAAAAATTCATAAAGAAATTAGTAAAGAGGTATAAGAAGCAAGAACAAATAGATTCTGACGACGTATTCTATTTGTTCTTATTAACTTTACAAAATGAAATTGAACATAATCGCATTTACAAAAAATTTCGTTCCCAACTTATGAATGAAATTGCTTTAGTCGCTTCCGTGACTTGGAGAAATTGTCCGATTTATTATCAACAAGCTTTTGTGAGATTGGCTTCCAGTATCTCTTCCTCAAATGATACAAAGGACAACTTTTCTTTTACTATATTTTGGAAAACTTTAGCATCTAGAATAAGAAAATCTTAATCATTCCATTAATCATTTTACATTCCATTAATTGCATTAATCATTTTACATTCCATTAATCATTTTACATTCCATTAATCATTTTACATTTTATTAATCATTTTATATTACATTCTTTATCATCTGTATTATTATTAAGATTATTACAATTATTATTATTATCATTTGTATTATTAAGGTTATTACAATTATTATTATTGTTGTTGTTATTATTATTAATAAAATTTAGAAAATTATCTTTTAATTTATTAATTGTAAAATCACACGACCAACCTTTTACTTTGCTAACTAGTTGAATAACATCTTGCATTAAAGAATCTAAATTCACCGATGAACGACAATCAGTTTCGACTAATAATCTATCCTCTGGCACAAATTTTATCAGATCGTGCAATCTATTTGATAATTTTTCATTTACAAGCTTACTAAAACTAAAATAACATACTATCGATAATGTTTTATTCTTTTTATTCTTTTTAGGATTGCCCTTTAAAGATAATAAAAGTCTTATTGTTTCAGTTGATCCACAAAATGAATGAAAGCATATTTTCAATTGTAAATTATTATCACTATTGTCAATTTGTTGATTATTTTTTTGTCGTAACTTTTTTAAAATTTCAACAATTTTTCCACTCGATTGTACACAATGTAAACTAATGCTTTTACCATATTTAATTGCCAATTCAATTTGTTTCTCTAATATTAATACTTGATGATCTATCGATGTTTGATAATCTGATATTCTCAATTTCTTATTAATATTTGGATTCTTTAATCTAAACAATTTATCAATTCCAATTTCTCCGATCAAACAATTCTCTTTATATTTGATTATTAAAGATTCAAGTTTGTCATACCAAATATTAAATGCTATTGGATTTGGCAACTCTTCAATAAATTCATTATATGATGA